TCCACTCACCTCAGCCTCCCAAAGGCGCGGGATTACAGGCTGAGCCACCGAGCCAGGCCGAAGTTATTTTTAACAAGGTAAAAGTGGCCAGGCCGGTGGCTCACGCCTATAATTCCATCACTTTGGGAGGCCAAGGTGAGAAGGCTTGAGACCAGCCTGTCAACATGGCAAGACCTTAGCTCTACAATAAATTAAGAAAAATTAGCCGGGATAGTGGCACGTGCCTGTGGTTCCAGCTACTTAGAAGGCTAAGGCGGAAGGATCGCAGAGCCCAGCAGGTCGAGGCTGCGGTGTTCGCAAGCACTCCACTCCACTCCAGCTTGGGCGACAGAGTGAGACTCCGACTCAAAAAATATAAATAAATAAAATAAATAAAAGCCAAGTCCCTCCGGGAACCCCACACCACAAGCCCTGGCTGGGGCTTCATTCACGAGCCGCTGTTTGCCCAAGTTAACTCCCTAACGTTGTGAGAGAGTCTCCGTTTAACCTTGGGGAGGACAGAGGGACGGAGGCCAGGACCACAGCCCCCTCCCAACCCCCCCAGTCACAGACCTACACGTGGATCGGACCCTCCCGGATCCCACACATCTGGAGCGCGGGGCTGCGCGGAGCTGCCCCGAGAGGGCTCTGCGGGCGAGGTCGCCGCGGGGACAGGACCCCGGGGTCCCGGCCCAGCCACACCCAGCGCCGAGGGGACCGGGCCAAGCTGCCGGCGAAGACCTGCCCAGACTCGGAGCTGACGGGGAGGCCGGTCCCGCCGCCCCTCCCCCTTTCGGGACACTCGCCTGCACACGCACTATTTCCCGACTTCCGAGTGTCCCGATGTCCTCCCCACGGTTCTCCTAGAACCTGCAGGTCGCAGGGCAACAGCGGTTGAGGCAAAGACACGCGGACATCCGGGCGAGCAGGACAGAGAAACAGGAACGACGCCTCTGTGCGCAGGCGCAGGAGGTAACGCTCAGTCAGAACCCGGAAGCCGCCCTCTGACTTCCGGCTCCTGTCTGATTGGGCAGTTTCCACCCCAGCGCCCACTGATTGTAGAAGGCTTCAGGACCCACCCCTCGGGTTCTGAGTGACAGGAGATGCAATCTGAAAAGGGATATATCAGGCAAAAAAGGTTTCATTTTTTTCCTTGCTCCCAGAACCTGCGGGGGAGCTGCAGGGGGGGGTGCGCCCCTCGCAGGGCATGCTGGGAAGTCTGGCATCTAAAGGGCTCCTGGTCGGTGGGTTGCGGGGCTGCAGGACTGCAATCCCAGTGGCGCTGGGGAGGGGTGCGCCGCTGTGGAGGGCGGGGCAGGGGAGTGAGTCTCCCCCCATCAAAGACCCGCTGTCTTCTGACTTTCTGCCACCCTCTCGCCGCGGGGAGTGAGTTTGGAGAGGGACAGAAGAGACACAGCCATCCGGGCAGTGGGTACGGTGTGACACTCGCGTGCACCTCGCCCTGGCCCATTTCGGGAGGGCTCACCATCCCCCATGCCTGGGCTCTTTTCCACCCTCACCCGGCCTCCTCAGGCGAGTGTCCATTCCTCAGGCGAGTGTCCATCTGCTTCCTAAACCGCTGTGGGATGGAGGTTGTCCCAGACACCACCCACTGTGACACCGCCCTCTGCTCTCTCCAGCTAGACCCCAGTCCAACCGCTTTGGGAGAAATCTCCATCCGGAACCCACGCACAGCTGGGTATGTCACCCTCACTAGCGCCTTTAACTCCTGGATGTGAAACTTGAGGCATGAGGGAGTGAAATTATTGGGTCACTGAGGACCTTCTAAGAGTAGAGGAGAAAACCTCACTTTCCAGGCACGTGTCTAGTGGGCTATTTCCACCAACCCGTTTCAGTGGACGTGCAACCAGCCAGAAGCTGATGGTGGTAGAGGCATTTTACATTTGAAGTCACTGGCCTCTTCTCACCTAGACCTGACTGGACAGTGTCTCAGACACAGATGGTGACCTTATCCCTCTGGAACAAGTAGTATTCCAGCTTTGGGGCAGCAACTTTTGTAGCGGCCGAGAGTTCGATCCGAGAGACCACCAAGAGCCAATTCCGATGTAAGATTAAGAGAGTCTTTATTTGCAAGCTCGAGCCTGGACTTCGGTTGCCAACCGACGCAGTGGAGTACACCCAGAGGCCCTGACTTCCCTAAGCAGGCAACTTCTATTGTGGTTACAGAGGGGAAGGAGCTTGGTGGGGATTTTCCAGACGTCATTATTTGATTGGATGGCAGTTGTTTGTGGTTATTGTATGTGTATGGGATTGGCTCATTTTATTCAAGTTGACCTCAAGCTAACCACAGTCTGTCAACTAGGGAAGTTGCTGAGACATCTGAAATTTTTGGTAACCTTTTATTATTGCCTGATTGGTTGTTGCTAAGGGGTGGTATGTGGTAAGGGGAAGGGTTGAAGCCCAGGCTATAATTTTGTGGTTTTTCCTGTAACTGAAACCTCAAGCAGCTGCAAGCCACACTCTGGCTGAAAGCTAGAAAGTTAAAATGGCTGTGTTATTGTTTGTAAGCTGATTTACACATACTTATTCAAAGTTTTTGTATACCATACTTTTAACTCAAGCCTATGATACACCTTGCTATGGTCCTCTCATTCCCCCCTTTTCATGAGGATGAAGTGAATCTAATCCTGGATTTTTTTAGCATGTTAAGTTGTCCAGGGGTACCTGTTCATACTGTTGTCTGAGGACCATAAGTTGTACAGTGTTTATTTTAGTCTTTATAAATGTTACTAGCTTGTTTAGGATGCACAGACCAAAAGTGAGTAACAGTAGGAGTATTATCAAGGGTCCCGCTATGGTGGACAGCAGGGTAGTTAGCCATGGGGAATGATTGAATCAACTTTCGAACCATCCTTGTCTCTGTTCTCGTTCCAATTTCCATTTTGTTAAACCTTTTCGGACTTTGGCCATGGATTCTTTAACGACACCTGAATGGTCTGCATAGAAGCAGCATTCTTTTCCTAGTGCAGCTCACAGTCTATCCTGATGTAAGAATACTAAATTAGCCCTCTACGATTTTGTAAGACTATTTCGGATAAGGAGGTTAAAGAATCCTGGAGATGAGAGATGGAGGTTTTTATTTTTTTAATGTCCAGATCTATAGCAGCCCTAAGGCCATCATATTGGTGGCTTTGTGTTGTTAGGGAGGCTATACCCGTTCCTGTTCCTGCCAGTCCAAGTCTAAAGAGGACTGCCAGGGTAATGGCAGTGACTGGCTCCCTCCTATTTCTCTGGGGGTTACTGGTGTTATACCACCGGAGTATGTCTTTATCAGTGTAGTAGAGGATCTTAGGGAGCAGTTGAACTAACAAACAAAAGCCCCCCCGGGTCTGGTTTAGGACCTGTCCATGGAAGCAAGGAGTTAAGCCTTTGGTACAGGCCCACCAGCCGTCTTCAGGGGGTAGGTGATAGTCTAAGCTGGTTACAGGCAGCGTAGCATTGCATAGGGACTGAAATTTTGGTGCGGGGCAGCCTATGCATAATCCCTGGCCTGTTACCGTTTGGAGAGTGAGCCCCTGAGTTGCCAGCTGCCACCTACAAGAACTGGAATTATGTTTAATTGTATGATTCCCCATTACTGCAATTCCTTCATAATATGGGGGCTGGATGTTATAACATAACCAGCAGGACTGAGTAAATTCTGGTCTTGTGGTATTTAAGAATGTATAAGCTTGGGTAAGTTCCATAGTGGATGCATGGGGGGTCTGTGTATGGGTTTTGGGCCAGATTGATTCATGGAGTTTGCCTGTCTAGATAAGTTTGTCATAGCCTCTGTGGGACTCGGTCTAATGTGTGGTGGCAGCGGTTTAGGCTCAGGGACAAGCACTAGGTTAAGTCTTATAGCTGTACGGGGGCTCTGAACTGTTAACTTTATCATAAAGGTAGTTCCAGGATCCCCAGCCCCAGCACTGTATACTCTGAGTTCCCATACTTTTTTCATCTCTCAACCTCGTGCATTCCTGCCTTTTTTGGTGAAGCTTATTGTTATGGGGTTACAATGTTTACCTTGGGTAGGATTACATCATTTATGGAAGTTGGGGGTACCTGCCCTCTGTACCTGTATTAAGTCATTGGGCTTGGCAGGACTCCAATTTATGAAACCCATGGTGACACAGGACCAGCTGGGGCAATAATACTGAGTGGGATTGTTACAGTTTTCATCTCTGTCATGCCCCGGGCATACGTAAAAGTACCAGTACCTGCCGCTAGTGCCTCCCTGGGTTAATTTCCATTGCTTAGCGGCAGTGTGGTAGAATTGGGTCAGATCCCTGGTCATGATTGGAAACCACGTGTGGGGGGGGTCATGTTTGAAGCTTGCCAAATAACGTTACTTGTGGAAAGCTCTATGACCTGCCAGGTTAAGTTCATGGGTTGGTGGGGATTGGGGGCTGCCCAGAGGGATCCTATCCCTGTTATGGAGAAACAGAAGAAGAAGAAGAAGTATGACACAGTCTTAGCTTTAGGGGATTGTCCTTGTCTAGTCGGCTGTTCCATTTGGGTGTGTAGTTTTTTAACACAGCAGGGGTATCAGCAAGCTTGACGTGGGTGTGGTGAATCCAAGACGCGATGCCTTCCACCTTTAAGGCCGTGGGGTAGACAGGATCACGACGTATGGTCCTTTCCACCATGGTTGCAGAGATTTGTGCTGATGTCGCCGGACGTACACCCAGTCCCCCGGTTGGTAGTTGTGGGGAGTCGGTGGTGGTCCAGTCTCATAAAGGGCTTTCAGTCTGGACCACACCTGCTCATGGACTCTTTGTAGAGTTTGGAGGGAAAAAAGGAGTTTTGGGTCATCTATGTCTATTAATAGTTCTGTCTTTAGGTTAGGTATGACCGGTGGAGGCACTCCAAACATAATTTTAACAGGTGTAAACCCTAACTTATAGGGTGAATTGCGCACCCTATATAGTGCTAAGGGAAGGAGAGTCACCCAGTCCCCGCCAGTCTCCTGGACCAATTTAGTTAAGGTCTCTTTTAGGGTTCTATTTATTTTTTCTATTTGTCCTGAGTTCTGGGGTCTGTATGCACAATGCAATTTCCAATCCGCCCCAGTGCCTGAGCCACTCCTTGTATTATCTTAGAGATGAGCTGGGGCCGTTGTCCAACCTGATCTGGACCAGGAAACCATATCTGGGCATCAGATCTTCTAAGAGTTTCTTGGCCACCACCTGTGCAGTTTTATTTTTGGTGGGGAATGCCTCAGTCCACCCTGAAAGAGTGTCTATGAATACTAGTAAATACCTGTACCCGTATTTTCCTGGTTTTACTTCAGTAAAGTCCACTTTCCAGTATGCTCCTGGCCAGCTCTCTCGAAGTCTGGTCCCCGGGTTTTGTTTGGGGTTAATCGCATTGACAACCTGACAAGCTTGACATTGATTTACAATTTGTTCGACCATCCGCCGAACGTTGGGCATAGCCATGTTTGTATGGCGTATTAGTTCTTGTATTTTTTTAGTCCCCATGTGGGTACTCCTGTGTATCTTTATAAGCAATTGTCGACCCAGCTGTTCTGGAAGGATGACATCCCATTTGTTGGTGTCATCATTCCAGTGTCGGATCCACCACCAGCCGTTTGAGAACATAGCTCCAGGTTGCTCATCTATCCATTTTAAATCTTTCTCCATATAGTTTGGGCTTTCTGGCAGATCCGGGGGCCCAGGGTCTGGCAGTGTGGTCACTAAGACATGGTCCACAGAAAGGGCCGCCTTTTTGGCCTCAGCATCTGCCAGCCGGTTCCCCTGTGCAACTGGCGTGTTTTTCTTCTGATGCCCTGGGCAATGCATTATGGCCAGGGCTTTGAGTAACCAGAGTGCCTATAGTAACTCAAGGATCTCAGTCTTATTTTTGATAGTTTTTCCCTCTGCCGTAAAGAGCCCCCTCTCCTTATAGATGGCTCCATGAATAT